GTCTAGGCACTGCACGACACACCCCAGCAGTCTCCACAGCAGGGGCTCGTCCTGCAGTAGCAGTCTTTCATTTGATGCACCCATTTGTATCTGGCCCAACTCCAGTTTTATTCCTCTGATTCTGCAGTGGGAACATGTACTTCTGATGATGATGATGATGACAGAGCAAGTCCTTGAATTCTCTAAAAGCTCTGGATCAGGTAGCTTCTGCTAAATGGAACAGCTCTTGTCACTAATCAGCAGGACTGTGATCAATTGGGTTTCACTACTAGTGGTGGCAGTGTCCAGTGGCAGGTCAGAGGATTGGCCTGGTCTGGCCATTGTGGGCCCTTCTTGCTTGAAATACTGCTTCACAAACAGTAAGCCTGGACTCTTTCCTGGAGGACTGCTTGAGATCACACCATCCATATTGTCTGTTTGCAAATTTCTGTCCCCTAACCCAATACACTTCTTTCTTCACAAAATCTTCAGGGGTTCATAGTGTGCCCTTACTGAGTTTAGTATCCTATTTTCTCTTTTGAAGGGCTCCAGCTTTCCGTTTGCCTATTTCCAAATGAAGTGAAGTTTCCAGTAATGCCTGCAGTCTTTTTGCTTTGTTTTAATATACCAAAAAGTTGGATTCTCACCATAAAATGCTGAATAATAGATTACTTGCCTAAAGTAATCTATGCCTCATACAATTTTTTATCCTTAGTGCTGGGTACAGAGTCTGGTACATAATGAGTGCTCAATAAATGTTTAAAGAATGATTGAATGAGTGACTCATTCTAGTTTTGTGACTTTTTATGTCTTTTTCAAGCTGGTGAAAGGTTAATATATGCTGAGAAGACTTGGTATATGAGGAAAAATTTCACATATGACTTTGATTCTATTCAAATGTGTTCTGCACTTAGGCAAGATTTCATTACCATTTTTCCATATCATGCCTGATGAATACCCGTAAGGTTTAGCTGACAAGTGCCATTCACAAACCACATCCCTGAATCCAGAGAGTAGCCCTCCTGTGAGGCTTCTTTGGCTCAGCCCTGACACAATGAGACAGCAAATGTCAAGCACTTCTTTAGAACTCATACACAGACTGATGTGCTCCTGCAAGGTCAGGACAAGGACCCATTTCACTCTGCATTCACGTGCAAGGCGACAGTGACAGGAACCTTCGAAGAGGGGGGCTGTCATTGGCAGGAAGGGTGAAGACTGGGAATTGAATCTTCCTAAAAAAGGCACATCTACAGGCCCGCAGGAAAAGCGACTAACGTCAGGGCAGGCGGCTCACTGGTAGCGGAGGGCTGCTGGTTACTGATTAAGCCAGGCACATATTTTCAAGGCAGAAGAGCACTGCCCAAGTTCAGCTTAGGCAGCTCCTGCAGGACTCCCTGACCAGGAGGGGGTGGGCAGTGGCTAGGGGGGAAGGGTGAGGTGAGGAAGCACAGGGAATGGGTCCCACTAGTGGTGGGAGAAGTCTCCTTGGAGGGGGACCCTTCCCTGTCTTTAGGAAATGCCAGGTAACATCTATCTGCAGGGCAGAAATTCTTGTTCCAAGATAGAGACCCTTCAAGGTCAAGGCCAGCTGTCTAAATCACCTATGTGAAATTCCCCAGCACCAATGATTTCCAAGTCTCGTTAATAATATTTTTTTCATTTTAAAAAGTAAAACAGAAAAAAGGACAGAAATGATACAGAATTTTTAAAAATAGTGGGAAATTAACACTAGTTAATATATTGCATATTGTTATCTTAGAAGTATGTTCAGGTTACAAGACCTAGCCATAAAATATGATCAAATATGATCAAATATGATCAAACAATCAAACAATGACAGCCCAGATTTCTTTTTGATGAACTAATAGAAATTAGTAGTATAGTTATCTATCTTGCATACATATACATACATACATTTATATATATATACCTGCATGTATATAATCTTTTAACAACCAAAGATTTCCTTTCTCACAATGACTGAGAAGAGCTCCTGTGGTTGTTACTATTTTTCTTTTCTTTGTTTATTGTATAACACATCTTGAGTTACATAGCTTATGAGTTTTATGTAAGAATTCGACTGAGTCCTCACAACCTATGACAGATGTATTTCTCCCCATTTTATAGATAAAGCGCTTGAGACACTGAGCATTTAAACAACTTGTCCTATCTTACAAAGCTAGAAAGTGACAGAGCCGAGTCTGAAATCAAAACAGTTTCACCTTTTTCTAAGAAAACAAGTCCCTCAGTAATGTTATTTTCCAACTGCAGAAGATTTTATATGCTCTTTGGCCCCAGGGAATGCAATTTTCTATAATTGGGAACTAACTGTTCATTACTGGTCTTATATCCTCCAAACAGCTTATTTTATTAACCATTGATCAAAATAGATTTTTTAATGGATTCAATTGAATGAATCAAAATGTGGTTTGGCCGAAGGATGGGCAGCTGCCACAAGAGGAGCGGGTGGCTGGCTTTGAAATCTTGGATGCAGGAGAGCCAGAGGCTGCAGGCTTGCTCCTGTTTTCCTCACTTTCATACCAACCAGCTCTGGTGGCTGAGGATCCCCAGAGCAGAACCACTCATCTAGATGCATGTTCTAGAACCCCGACCAAAATGTCAGTTTGTTACCTATGAGGCCTAATCTGCTAAAATGAGAGTAATATTCATCTCTCAGTATTACTTTTCTCATTTGATTCTGGTAGCAAACTCTAATCCCCATTCTCTCTTAGCATAGGTCAGTTTATCAGAATAGATAGCACAAGGCAAAGGCCTAGGGAATGAACCACAGGACAGGTAAGTCTCGTTGATAGAAAGGTGTTTGTAGACAAGGAGAAGGACGCTTGACCAATTCCTTGAGGATGGGTCCTAAGAGAACCTAATACATCCAAAGATCAGTATGAAGGTTGGGCATCGCAGGAAGTAAGCGTGACACCATGGGAAGTGGTACAGATGAAATGTGAGGAGTGTTTAGATTTGGAGAAGAATCTGTTGCCAACCCGCATCTGTAATAAGAAAATTGAAAGTAAGCTCTATCAACTCATCATTAAGTAATTATATTTCATCAACTAAATAAGCTGTGTCTCTCGACAGTTTTCCTCCACAGTCCTGGAGGGAGCAAAAGGATCTTGGAAGAGAGGAAAATGGCAAGAGTGCCCTGAGGTTGCTAACCATGGCTTTTATGCCCACTTTGGTAGGGGACTACCAGGTCACCAGCTCTTTCTCATATCCTCTCTTGCTAGGTCAGAAAGCCCAGCAGGATTTAGGCTCAGCCAAAACTTGAGCTCAGTCAGGCATTCCTCTTCCCAGGAGAGGGACCAGCATGGCATCCCTTGTCACCCCAAGGCCTCTGGCCTTCTAGACTCCTCCACCCCTGGGAGACTTCTGGCCCTTCCCTGAATCTTTCCAGGCTCCTACCTAGTCTTGAAGCTCTGTCACAGTTTATGGTTCCTTAGAAGTGGTGCCCAGCATCAGAGGAGAAACGACATTACCCTGCAAAAATACATCCTACTTCCATTGGTCTCTCTAGGAAGCAGCACTGGCTGTGGGCAGATTTGTAAACTCAGTCAAATCTGGTTTTCATTTCCTCTGTTCTTTTTGCTCCATTTAATAACCAGCCAAATATCCAGAACTTTCATCCTCCACCCTCACTGGGCATCACTATCTCCTTTACTGTTTCATTTCTTCTGGTCCTAGAAAATCCCACACTTTAGAATGATCTCCCATTCCTTCTTGGCTGCTGGCCTAGACTTACCTATCATGACCTTCTTGGGAGGGTGGTACCAGCTTGTCCTGATAAAGTATAACACATTCATCATCTGTTAGCTAACCTATATTACTTTTGGTTGACAACACCTTAAAATGCTTCCATTACAGGCTTTGTCTGTCAGAAATACTTATGAGGAGTGAGCCTAGTGGTAAACTCAGGAACCACCACGGATCAAAAGGAAAGGTTATTTCAGTGCTCACCTCTCCAGTGGAGGCAGCTGCGTTTTCTGTGTCTGTGTGGAACAAGAAACTCTGAGGCCAGGTTTGAAAGTCTGGACCTGCACTTTGTTTCTGACTCCAAACAGATCTTGGCAACTAGTGGTAAATCTCCACAGAGCCCCGAGGACCCTTCTCTGTGAGGTGAAGCAGTCTCCCTTTAGTGGTGACTTAGGTCACTACCTAAGTCTTGATCACTAAATTATTCACCTTGAGGTGCATGAGAAAGGCTTAATAGATGACTTGGATGAAATTTTTCCAGAAGATGGATGGGATATTGAGATGGACTATTTGGAAGAGTCCAGGACTGAAGAGTGGGCTTCTTGCAATGTATTAGAAAAACAAGCTAAATGAAGTATTCATGGCTGCTAGATACTTTCTACCCTTAAAAACAAGCAAACAAACAAAAAATAAGCCTGGCAACCATAGTTCAATTTCATAAAGCTATCTTAAGAAATTTCAGAGACATACTGTACTGTGAGGGTTTCTAGGCTGGTAGAGGTGGGATGGGCAGAGGTCAGTCCTGAGGTTTGACTTTCCTCTTCTACAGAGTTACGTGGAACAGGCTTCCAGATGTTGATCCGTATAAACTGACCATCTGCCTTGCTCTTGAAGCCTGCTAGAAGTAGAATTAGTAACAATTCTGTGGACAGCATAGTAGTATGTCCTGGTTCTATGACATGTTTCTCATGAGGAAATTTTCATTTTTCTGTTTTCTCAGAGCTTGGCATAGGAGTGCTTCACCTTTGGTGGTCTGGCTTTGGTTTATATACAAATGTATATTTTTGAAGATACAAAAGTCTTCCTTTTCAGAGTCATTACCTGAGCCTCACAGCCACTTCGATGAAACCCAGAATAAAATCAATTTCATTTTAGACAGCTGTATTTCAATGTCTTGATCAGGGAAAGTTTTGGGTTGGGTCAGAAATCCTAGAATCTGAAGAAGGAGAGAAACAAAAGTGTTTTTGCTTGGTATAACTTCAGCAAATTGGACTTTGATTTTCAGGTTTTCACTGATCTCTTGTCTTCACTCACAGGTCAGAACAAGAGAACCACATTTTGTTTATTAGCTCCTCTATCAAATCTTTGTCTCTTTCCTCTGCCTTCTTTTGGGTATGTTTCTCTGTTGGACCCTGCAGTGGACATTTTGCATCTATATATCACGCACTGCAGGTAAGTAGAGGAACGATGACTGACTTGTCAACTTTTATGTGATTGTTTGTGGTCCTGTTTCCTCAAGGAAAACATCTGGGGAGAAATTAATGCTAAGTTCCCCCACGGAAAGAGAGAGGCCTTGGGACTTTCATCAGCTTGGGATAGCCTTCCCATACCAGGGAGCTCAGCTATGAGAAACTCTATATTTGGAAAACTCACTAGACATTGTTCCCAACATTGATAATTCTGACAATAGAAGATAAATGATTATCATCCACTTTTATTTCCTTTGCCTATGCATGTGCACGCGCGTGTGAGTGTGCTTGCTTTTGATCCTACTGGTTGCAAGAGTCCATTGGTAGGTTGAGACAAAGGGTAAATATTCAAAACCAAAAGCCACTCTGAATTTGTGATGTAGGGTGGTGTTTTTGAGTCCTTCCTTAGAAACAACACCTCCTCAGTGACACTTTGTACTGCTGCAACAAAATGCCATAGATAAGGCATAGATGCCTTATAACTACAGAAACTTACTTTTTACAGTTCTAGAGGCTAGAAGTCCAAGATTGGGGTTCTGTAGGTTCAGCGCTTGCCAAGGACTTGACTCATGGATGTCTGATTTCTTGTGTCCTCACCTGATGGAAGTGATGAGAGCTTTCTGGGATGTCTTTCATTAGGGTGCTAGTCCTATTGATGAAGGCTCTATCCTCATGACCTAATTGCCTCTAAAAGTCCCCACCTCCACTAGGGATTGAATTTCAGCCTATGAATTTTGAGTGGATGCAAATATGGAAGCTGTAGTGGTGGGTAACAAAAAAACCCTTCATCAGTAGTTGCGTCATCAGTAACATGTTTTTGCTTTGTGATCCTGAGTCCCACACTTCTGCTCCTCTTTTCTTCCTTATTATGTCCTCAAACTTACGCCAATCCTCCTGCCTCAGCCTGGAATTACAGGTATGTGCCACCATGTCTGGGTCATTGTTTTGAACTGCAAAGGTAATTCAACATAAATATTAAAGAATGTTTTGAAAAAACTAAAATACTGATGACTTCTGCATTCTTTTTGGTGCTTTCACATACCATTTAAAATGTTTATAGCCTTTATGTATCACTCAAAAATGAAATCATGGTGGAAACTTAAAAATAAATTACCCACAATTCTCCCAGGCTATCACTTCTGTTTCCATTTTGAAGTATTTTCTCTTTTTAAATGTTTGATAATTTCAGTATTTTAAAAAGATTACCAAGGTTAACTTTATGCAACATAGAACTAAACATTTTAATGTGCAAGATTCAGTGGCAATTAATACATTCACAGTACTTTGCAACAACTACCTTAGTCTGGCTTCAAAACATCTTCATATTGCTTAATGGGTAAAACTGCCTACCCTTTAAACAATTTCTCTGTATTTTCCTTTTTCACTGGCACTTGGCAAATCAATCCGCATCTGCCTCTATGGATTTATCTATTATAGATATTCATATAAATGGGATTTTATAATATATAACCTTCTTTAAGCTAGCATACTATTTTGGAAGGTTTATCTAGGTGGTAGCATGTATGAGTATGTTCCCCTTTTGTGGCTAAATGATGGTCTGTTATGTGAATATACCACATTTTGTTTATTAGCTCCTCTATCAATGGACATTCAAGTCATTTGCATATTTTGGATATTGTAAATAGTGTTTCTATGAATATGAATTTATATGTTGTTGTTTGAGTATTTGTTTTCATAATGTTTAGGTCTAACTGTAGGAGCTGAATTTCTGGATTATGTGATGATTCTATGTTTAACTTTCTGAGGAATTACCAAATAGTATCCCTACTGGCTGAATCATTCTGCCCTCAGACAATGAATTTTGGAGATAAAATTGGATTGTGAAAGAGGCAATGAGAGTTTAGAACAAAGGGTAGATATTCAAAGCCCACAGCTTTGAATATGTGAATCAGAATGATTTTCTTGAGAACTGAAGACCTGTGCTGAGATTTTTGTTTGTTTGGGCTTCCAATTTCTCTATGTTCTTGCCAGTACTTATACTTTTTTGATATAATTTTTAACTCTTGTGTACATGTTGTTTTATGTAATCAATTAAATATTACATTTTAAATTTTATGGTAATTTCTAGCATTTGTGTACCCATGAGCATTTGGCATTATGTGATTTTCCACTTCAGAATAATCTGCTCCCTTTCCCCACTCTGATCATGTAATCCATCCTTGTGACTTCACATTTTGGTAATTTTGAGCACAACATTTATCGTTAGATTGAGTTCTCTTTTGTCTTAGAGATGTCTCTGTATTAGGCATGACAGATAGCATATGTTATCCCTGCCCTATTCTTTTGCTACATAAACTTATTTGAAAGTATTTTGTTTGAGTAGCTCCATGGGAAAAGCCAAGTGAAATTGTTCACATTTTGCCTCTATTGAAACTTCTGCCACAAGCAGGGATGTATTCATGATAGAGAAGCATGAAGAGAATGGGAGGAAATTTTTAGAGTGTGCATTTTCCTTTGGTATTTTCCTACTTTCCTACATTTCAATCTCATAACTGACAAAGGGATGTGAGGAAAGTGGGTGTTCAAAGAGTGTCCAGTAGACTTTGGGGGAGAGGGAGAGAAGCAACAATAATCTTGAATAATGGGATATGGACAGGGTAAAAGGCAAGACTGTGGCAGGTTGGAGTTGCCTGCTATAATATTGCATGAGTTAAACTACCAGGGAAAACAACAGAAGAAAAATTCAGAGTCTCTCAGTCTTGGAACTCCTGGCATTTTCTGCTGGGCGGTTGCTTGCTTGGGAGTGTGGACCTGTGCATGGAAGCATGTTTAGAAGCCTCCCTGACCTGCACCACAGATGCCAGTAGCACTCCCACCACCACCAGGCCACCTGGGTGACAAAATCACTTCTAAGTGAGAATCACTAGGTAGAGCAAATAATAATATTGGTTTTTACTAATCAATTGGCATTAGTAGCTGGTTTTAAAATGTTTTTATTTTAAAGCTAGTATTTTTTTGAGACACTACTATGCATCAGACACTGGCATTTTTCATTCATTTTTTTCCTGCTCAGCAAATGTCTGAATGTGTACTTAACCAGGAACAAAATCTGTAACATGGAGCAAACATTGGCAAAGTTTTGCCCCATGGAGTATTCATTCTAGTGGAGAAACAGGCAGGTTAAAAATAATCATGCGACACCAGCAAGTTTGCAAGCCCAGTCTGGGAACCAGCGTGATGCACTGGGCTGCCGCTGGACTGGAATGGTGAGACCCCATCTCCTTCTAGAGCATAAGCTGGCAAACAAGAACTATCAATCCCCTCCCTGCATGCTGTGAGCGACAGGCTTATGCGGGGAAACCCAGGCTGTGATGATAGCTATGGAGGTGAAATGCAATTGGATGCCTGTGATACTTTGTTGTTTCAGGGCTAGGGCCAGTGGTCTGATCATAGGCTCAGAGGATAGCAGTATGTAGTGTGACATCTAGGAGGGCTCTCCTTCTCAGGGTTGTAGCCATTGTTGATTCCCTATGGTGTTGTTTTGGAAGTCCTATACTGTTTTGATTGTTTTGTTAGTTCTATATTGTCTCTTCTGTTTTGTTTGATTATACCAAAATCTGATAGCAGGAGCAGCTATTTTAAAGATAGCAAAAAATATTATGGTAACAAGTTTGGATTTAATATTGGCTTGTTTTGAAGTCCTTTATTGCATTCATTGTTTCTATTCTAGTCTGTTCTGTTTGATTTTTACTATGTCTGCAGCTGTTTTGAAGATATGAAGAGGTATTATGGTAACTATTGTTGATTTTGTAATGTTTTGAAGCCCTGTATCTCTTACACTGGTTTGTTTTCATTGATTTTATTCTGTTTTATCCTCTTTAAAAAAATGATCATGCATGGAATCACAAGTGTGATAAATGGAATGGAATGGAGATGTACTATTCAGCTTTCTGTTGCCGTAACACATACCCAAGACAATAATTTTATAAAGAGAAAAGCTTTATTTTGACTGTCAGTTTTTGAGGTTCCAGTCTGTGGCAGGTTGGTCCCATTGCGTTTAGACCTTTGGTGAGCAGTATATGATGGTGGGGTGCACATGATGGAGCAAAGCCATTCACCTCGTGGCAGGGAACAAAAATGAGAAATGGAAGTGGCTGGAGCTCTACTATCCATACCCCGACCTAAGAACTTCTGCTATGCCCCATCCCTAGTAGTGCCAAGTTGGGGACTAAGCCTTTACCACCTGGGCTTTGGGAGACACTCCTATCTAAACTATAGCAGGAAGTCTTTGGGAGCTGTGACGGGAGTCACTTCCCAGAGCTGCCTACAAGCTGGACTCTGTTCTGAAACCACAGCATGCCTTAACTTGCAGGGCTCTGTGACAGCTCTATGTAATAAGCTGTTCTGCAGAGAAGGAAGCTGAATCTTACGTGGATGGAAGTAAAGTATAGCAAGTGGTGGAGTTGAGGTTTGAACCCAAGTTGTTGTCTTCAGTGCCTGAGCTTGAAGCACCACCTAAGATAACAAGTGAGATCTGAAGGAGGCATTGAAGAGGGGAGGACTATGTTCCAATGCAGAGAAAGAAGTAAAGGGATAAGCTTTGAGGAAGAGGAAAGATGGAGGCCTGGGAAAGAACTGAGTGGCTGAGAGGCAGTGCTGGGGAGGAGGAGCCTGTGGCAGTGGGGAGACATCACCACACTTCACATGCTGCCTTAGAGCGATTCACTTTTACTCAGAAAGCAGTGGTGACCACTGGAAGGGGAGAGGGCCGAGTATGGAAAGGATACTTCTAGGTTTATCATATTTCATATCTATACTTGCCCAGAGAGGGAGAGAACCCTGTTTTACTCTTAAAAAGAGAGGACTCAAGGAGCTCAACGCTTTGCTAAGGTGACCCATCTGACAAGAGACAGAGCTGGGATTTCATCATAAGGTTTGCCTCTTCTAAACTCCTTCCTCTTCCCCAAGTTGCCTCCTCCTCCTGAGGAAAGAGAACTTAAGTCCATCCAGGTCACTTCTCAT